AAATAACTTAATTTCTTTACTTAATTTTACTATTACATATGCAACCCATATTGCATTTCAATACACTAATTTCTTTAATTAGTGTTTCAAATTATATATAAAATAATACAAACATTGTAATTGATTCATAGAATCCTTTACAAATCACAGCTCCAAGTATATTGAACCTTGGGCTGTTTGGAAATTATAATATCGTTAACCACCTGGCTATTTAACTTGCCATAATGATTAACGTCATTACATTATTATGAGTTTGAATGAAAATCTCCGGTTTGTAAATTTGGGCTGGTTAGTGAGGGGAGTTGTGTTTACACTACCAACTTTTTTCACTGTTGTGTCCTTTGCAACCTGGTAGTCATCCAAACTCAGTTTAAAATTAAATTAACCGCCCAAAATTTGGGTTGGTATTTACACCTTGTTGATCTGTCAAAAGTAATTTTGACCTCAAGGTTGGCTGTCTTTTGCGGTTTAGTTCGTTCCTGTTTCATCTAACGCCATTTTCACGGCGACATCCATAGGGCTTTGATCGGTAACTTCATATTCACTATTTTTTAGAATTTTATTAATATTACTTATAATGCTACCTAAAGTTAAAATCAAAGCTTAATATCCATTAAATAGTTGGAAGTTATTTATGATTTTCTTGGTTCTTTCTCACTTATTAACATTAAATAACATTGAATTTATTTTGGACCACATGGTCAATTGCTGTGCTAATTTTTTTACAAGTTCATATATGTTGTTAGTTGCTTAACTGTTTATACAAGATCAGCGTACTATGTCCATTTACTTAGTTTCATTCACATATTTGTTAATAACATTGACTGCTACATATCTTTTTAAGGTAACAATTAACATCGTTTCCATGATTGTTGTGGTTCTCATATTGTAATAATTTTTTAGATGAACTGATGATGCTTTCAAAACTCGAAAGCGAAACGTCTTCAAAATAGATAAAGTAGCCTATCAACTTTGTCTTTTATTTCTCCACCTAGAGACCGATATAAGAACCCACCACTCGTCTGAGTGATCCTTATATAATATTTGGATTGACGGTCGTACTCCTTTTTCCGATATATATATATATATATATATATATATATATATATATATATATATATATATATATATATGTTATAGTATATATATATGCTTAGTGCGCCAAGCAATTAATTAGCTAATTAATTAATTAATTAATTAATTAAATGTATTTAAATGATGTGATTATGGTTCTATTCACACACTTTTTAATTCTTTTATCTCAGGGTTATATTCGTGTTTTAATATCTATGCTTTACATGTGAAAGGTAAGGTCCAAAGAATACCGGAATAATAAAAAAACATATATGATATTATATTGAAATAAAAATAATGAAATAAAATTCACACTCAAATGTTTTCAATAAACAATATCTCATAATAATGATTCTAAAAATTTTGCTCTACGTACGTGAACCTTCAAAATTAATGGTACAAACAATATTAGTTTAAAATCTTAAAATCCCAATTATTATTCTAAATCTCGTAATCAAAATATTTATATCTTTTCTAAATTAATTGTAAAAATTGTGTTGTCAATAAAAGAAAAGCTGTAGAAAAACAAAACTATCTCTCTCTGATGATGAGTGGTCCAAATCCTTGTTCCTTGTAGCCTATACTATCTATTATGGCCTGAGTGAAAAATAACTCTTGGAATATCTTCTCTTTACGATAAACTGAATCTCTCGTTGGCTTGAACAGTGAATCAGTGACTTGAATATAAGTAGAAAAATATGACTTACAATCTTTTACTGGATCAGCTTCTGTCAGAGACACTTACTACACGAAAACTCACAAATTTTCACTGCTACTGCTTCCTACCTCTGAAAAACTACCCGAGAACAACGGCCGTTTGCCTTGCACCATTGGAAATCAACTTCCTTTCTTTTTTCCTCCAAATCTAACTAAAAGTCTTATTCTCAAACCAACCATCCCACCTTTTTCAATCTCATCCAATCAAAACGCGTCATCTCCCATTAATTTCGATAACACAAGCACATTTTTACCTACAATTATAAAATTTCCTAAAACTCATTTACAAACTAATCTTTTTCTACCAATTCTTATGAACTAACAAAAAATATCTTTCTAAAATATATTCTATTGTCCTAATTACTGCATAAATTTATTTGGAAAACCCGCTTCCATTGTCTAAGATTTCACTTAAGCTCCTCACATCACTCAAATATATTTTAACAAAGAAAATAATTTCTGCACATCTTACGTTTTGTTCAATATAGGTAATCCAAAGATAAAGGACTTTCATTCTTCGAAATGTTTGTAGTTTATTATTCGACTTATCTGAATTATTTAAATTTTTTGAACTTTGAAATATTTTAAGCAAACCAATATTTTTCTCGATTTTACATATCATAACAATATATATATATATATATATATATATATATATATATATATATATATATACAGAAGGTTCAGATAATAATAAAAAAAATTAGCATAATAATATGATTTTTAACTAATAAACTTAAATAGTGATAGTGAATAAAAGCAATAATTTATAAGTTATAGACTACAGAATATTATAAAAATATTTATATGAGGTATTTTTAAGAAATTAGCATAATAATAAGTTTAAAAAGTTTTAATAATTATAATATTATAGATATATTTTAGTGAGCCATGTGCATAGGCAGCCAAATATACACTGAATAATTGACACTGTATAATAATGACAGAAGAATAAATTTCAACAGAAAGTGACATTTGAATAATAATTACGGATGTAAAATAGTGTTATGTATTAATTTAAGATTTTTAGTTTATATATAAGTGTATATTCTGATCTAAAAAGCCTAAATGTTCATTAAATTATCCATAGAAAAATTAAGAATTTTCTAGAGCATTTAAATAACACGTCAATATAAGACAGTTAACCCTATTTGCGAGGTAGACAAGGTGCTGGCGAGGTGCTGGCTGTATACCACGTATCACAAAAAAAGAGGTTATTCTTTGTAATTTGGTATATTTAAAAATCCTTAAAAGGGCTACATCAAAAAACACGAACGTTTTCGGAATGACAATTCCATCATCAGGTTTAAAAAAACACTAGGTTGACATGCCTGAGCCACCAAAATATTTGGGTAAAAAGCCTTAAAAATAAATGTAGTTACAAAAGATTGTACATAATGTTGTTTTATGTGATGTTTGATATTAAGTTAAATTTGGCTTCAGCCATCAAAAAATAAAGGACCCCATCACTTAATTATCGAACACATTAAATCATTTCATTCCACGATTTCCCATTACAGATGGGAGCATGCTTCAAATGTGCGTTACCTTCCAGGAGATGTTAATGTAGCACTTATGCACAGTGAATTCATCAACAAATTTTCTTGTGACACGCAGAAGGTTATCATGTTGCCAAGAGTGAACATGTTCAAGAAAGTATTATTTCTAAAGCGTTTAGTAGCCTATCATGAAGCCTTTGCACGTGTAGGGAGAAAAGGTAAAGCAAAAGTATACTCCATTTTGTGGCATGAAGGAATTTCAGGCCGCAATAAAGAAGATAATGTTAGTGCGTAATGTTTTTAAAACAACACAGATATTGAAAAAATAGTTCTTTGTTTAGACAACTGCTCTTCCCAAAATAAAAACTGGTGCTTTTACACATTTTTAGTGTACATAATAAACTCTGATGACATTGTAGCTAATGAAATAGTTTTAAACTATTTTCAACCTGATCATTCATTCATAAGTTCAGGCAATTTTCACCATCAAGTACAGCAATCACTAAAGGCTTAAAAGAAAACTTATGATTTTGAAGACATTGTTAATGAAGTGAAAAAATCCAAATCTGGAAATGTCAATGTATACAAAATGCAACATTTTGATTTCTACCACTGGCCCAATTTCGTGTCACAACAAAAGCTAAAATCATCGTCACGTTTGTGTTTAAGTGACATAGTTAATTATAGCTGAACGAAGCAGTTATCTTTTGTTGTGCAAGACAAACTATGATGTAATGAGCCACTACCAACAACTGGACTTTTTACAAAAAAAAAATCATTTTGCAACATTTTGATTACTACCACTGGCCCAATTTCGTGTCACAACAAAAGCTAAAATCATCATCACGTTTGTATTTAAGTGAGATAGTTAATTATAGCTGAACGAGGCAGTTATCATTTGTTGTGCAAGGCAAACTATGATGTAATGAGCCACTACCAACAACTGGACTTTTTACAAAAAAAAAACAATGAAAGGAATTAAACTGCCCAGCCATCATACTGTACCGTGTGGATTTCCAGAAGATAAGAAGAAAAATATCCTTTAGTCATTAAATGAATTACTGCCAGAAAATCGAAACCAATTTTGGAAAGACTTGCCTACAAACATCTCAGCCAAAAGACTGAACCTATTGTGACATTACTTGTACTTATGTAAAAGTATTGGTTATATTTTATTTTTTATAAGTTTATTTTTCTTATACGAATAGATTATAAAATATGTTAATGCTGTGATCTTTCAACAAACTATTAAAAATGTAAAGCAGTACATACGGCAAATATAGCCATTCACATTACTAAGGAAGAGTGCCGTATGTACGACACTATTTTATATTTGCAACCTTTTTTGCATTAAAAATTAGAATTATAAAATAAATATTTTCATTTTTGTTTAGCATAAATGTACTTGCAGAATAAACAATGAATAACTAAAATATTTTTATATTCAAAATTACAGCATCCTTCTAAACTTTATGTCGAGTTAAAATCCTACTATTTTTACTTACGGCACTTTTGGTTAGCTGGGCAGATTAACAATTTATAAAAAGTATTCGTAAACTCCTAAAAAGTCATGCCGAAACGTGTCATTCTTAAAAAAAAAAGACAATTTTCGGTACTAAATATTTATTTTTACCTACCTACCTCCCTAGTAAATATTTTCCTTTAATAAACCATTTCTGAAAGTCTAAACTTGTTCATTTTTTATTCCAGATAAAAGAATACGAATTAAGTGAAGTATTCCATCACGAAGAAGACGAACATCAATACGAAGTGCTGAAAATGGAACATTTGCCACACAACTCTATCAGTGTCTTCAATGGCAACAATGATATTCAAACAGCTATCGAAGAAGAACGAGAAGAACAAGAGCCACATCCGAGACAAAAACCGAAACCAAGACCTTTGAAACAGTTTGCACTTTCAACGCCCTATTCTACGACCCCAATGAGAAATAATTATTATACTGTGGATGACCGGATGTCAAACACGATGTATGAGTATATCCATTTCTTTATTTTTAAGTTTATTCGTTTTTAGTATACATATGAGATCAAAATGATCATATTTTAATTTTTAAAAAATATAACCTTTGTTCACAACTGAAGATATGATTTTAATTATATTGATCTTTATGTGTATCTATGAAAGATGGCCATACTTTTTCAATTTAAGTGTCGTTTCGGAAAAATGCTTTTTACGATTAAAAGTTTTATAAAGTTTTATAAGTTAAAAAAAAAACACAAACCTTTAATGCCAAATATAAAACTCGGGTTAAAGTATATTTACGACGAATTCTTAAATATTGAGATAAATACTTCTTCTTCTTGTAGTGCCTATCCATTTCGGATATTGGCGACCAACTAAAGCCAACGAACTACAATAATTAAATGAAGAAATATTTAAAGCAGTTAGAAAAGACACCCGAAAATACAATCAAAAACAAATTGAAAAGATAGAAATTATCATCTTACAACTATCAGAGAAGAAACCCTTAAAATAGTTAAAGACTTTTACAAATTGCTGTACACAAGCCAACACAAAGCAAAGAGCAAAGAATATCAAATACTAAAAATATTAACAAGGAAAAAGGACTAATTATCAAAACTACTACCGAAAATCACAATAGACAAAATAAAACTCGCCCTAACAAAAAAACTAAGAATAACAAATCTTCAGGCTAAGATTGTGTAGTTACATATGCAATCAATTGGACAGTAATATACCCGACAAATGGCATAATGCTGGGGTATAAGTCTTTTTAGTCACCTGTACAAACTCCCTACAATAATAGTAACGACTGTCTTGAGAAAAAACTTGATTTCTGCCACCCAATAGAGCAAGCGGGATTTCGTACCGGATTTGGAACAAATGATCACCTACAGAGCATTAAAATGATAATAGAAAAGACTATTGAATACAATCGACCACTCGTTCTGGCTTTTGTAGATTTTCATAAAGCCTTTGACATGGTAGAATTTGACAAAATCCTGGAAGCACTACAAGCATGCCGCATTGACTACCGATATACAAGGTTAATTTACAATGCCCACAAGAAGGCAACTGTCGGTGAAACTACATAAAAACACGGATCATATCCCAATCAGCAGAGAAGTCCAATAGTTCGACCTTATCGCCTAAATTTGTTTTCTGTACTACTAGAATATCCTTGTAAAAAACTTACATGAGAAGAGAAAGACCTGAACATTGACGGTAGAAGATCAACAAAAATTTAAAATTAACAGACGAAATTGTTTTGTTTTCGGACAACCTCAAGGAGATATGTACAATGCTATATGAAGTTCTGTTAGTGTGCGCCAGTTTGGGTCTTAAAATACAACAAACATCTCCAAAACAAAATGCATGACGAATCTAGTACCTAGCGGAAATATCAATATTGGAGACAACGAAATAAAGCTGGTAAAAAAAACGTATACTCTGGACACGGCATAAGGATCACAAGAGACAATCAAACATGCGAACTATAAAGGAGAATAAAGCTATCATGGGCAGCTTATGGAAAACTCAAAGACATCTTTAAAAGCGATCTATCAATTTTTTTTGGAAGACTATCTATGAAGACCTATGGTGCCGAAACTTTGACATTGACAGCTACAACTTCTAAAACGCTGCAAATAGTTCAGAGGAAAATTTAAAGGTCAATGCTGAGTATATCGCTTCTGGACCGAGTTAGAAATGAAGACTTATGACGAAGAACAGGAGTTACCGATGTAATTTCCCGAATTGTCACACTGAAATGAAACTGGGCCGGATACGTTGCCCGAATCAGTGATAAAAGGTGGACGAAAAGATTGCTTGAGTAAAGCCCGAGGTTAGACAAGAGAAGTAGAGGAAGACCCCCTACGCGTCGGATTGACGATCTCAAGGAAATGCCAAGAAATTGGATAAAAAGAGCTCAAGATAGAGCACAATTGACAAAAATGAGGAGGCCTATGTCCAGCAAGAAACGCAAAGGGCTGGTTAATAATGATGATAAATAAGTTTGGTAGTAATTTTTAACAGATTCATCGTTTCGTATAGTTTTTCTCTATCGATTGAGACGTATCTTCTTCTTCTTTGGATGCCGTCTTCTTAGCGAAGGTTGGCGATGACCTCTGCAAAGTCTTTCCTATTTTGGACTTTCCTTATTAAACTTTGTCTAAAGTCTAATCCTGTCCAACCTTTGATGTTGCGCAGCCAGGTCATTTGTCGTCTATCCGGGCCGCGTCTGCCTTCTATTTTTCCTTATATAATAAGCTGAAGGAAATTATACCTGTCGTGCCTAAATATGTGTCCAAGATAAGACGTTTTACACTTCTTGATAATGTGTGTGAGTTCGCGTTCTCTATTCATACGCCTTGAAACTTCTTAATTTTTAACGTGGTCGGTCCATGGAATTTTCAGCATACGACAAAATACAAACATCTCAAAGCTCTCTAAACGTCGTAACGAGCTGACTGTTAAAGTCCACGCTTCCACGCCGTGTAATAGTACACTTTATACATAACACTTTATCATGCAGTATCTTAGGGACAAATCAAGATTACGGGTAGTGAGTAACTGTCGCATCTTTAAGAAGGTGTTTCTTGCCTATTCTATTCTACATTTAACCTCTTGTTCTTCGTCTAAGGTTTCATGTATCCAACAGTCTAGATACTTAAACTTTTTCACTTGTTCAACTAAATTGTTGTTGACTTGTATCTTTATAAGTGGTGTGTATTTTTTTGAAATTACCATTGTTTTTATTCTTTACATTCACCTTAATGCCGTATAGTTCTCCTTCTCGCACTACTTTAGTTAACAGAATTTGTAGTTCTTCTTCACTGCCAGCAATTAGTACGGTATCATCTGCGTATCTGATATTGTTTACGATTTTTCCATTGACTTTTATTCCTTCTTGTGCTTCATCTAGAGCATGTGCAAAGATGTCCTCTGAGTACAAGTTTAATAATAATGGTTATAGTATACAACCTTGTCTAATTTCTCTTTAGATGTTTATTGTTTTAGTATCACCCATTTCAGTTCTGACAGAGGCGTTTTGGTTCCAGTATAGTTCACGTATTTTATTAATGTCGTTTATATCTAGGTTCTTTTTTTGCAAGCATTCTATTAGCTGATCGTGTTTGACTTTGTCAAAAGCCTTTTAATAATATATAAAGCACAAGTAGACATATTTTTGTTGATCTCGGCACTTTTGCATGAGAACAATGAAACTGAACAAAGCTTCTTTAGTTCCCATACCGTTTTGGAAGCCAAATTGTTCCGGACCCATTTCTTCTTCGCATTTTTTGTAAATTCTGTTATGGATAATTTTTAGAAGTAGCTTCAGAATATGGGGCATGAGACTTATTAATCGAAAGTCGTTACATTTGTTTGCGTAGTTTGATTTAGGTATAGGGACAAACGTAGAGTTTAACCAATCTTGTGTAATTCTACCAGTCTTGTATATACTGTTGAAGAGTCTTGATAATAGTTCTAAATTGTCTTGTTCCAAAAGTTGTATAATTTTACTATTAACGTAGTCATGTCCAGAGGCTTTTCCGGTTTTCATATTTTTTAAGGCGTATTTTATTTCTGATGTTAAGATGTGCAAGTCGTTATTTTCGATGTTTATTTGTCTATCAATATTTATTCTTCTATCCCCTGAGAAGACTTGTTCTCTTATTGTTGTTTTATCGTTCTTGAGTCGTATGCCTGCTTAAACTTTATAAACAGAATGTGCAAACCTAGATTTTATTTCTAGCTGTTGTGCAATACTTGTTTTATGGTAAGAACCTGATCAATTATAGACCTTCTTCTTTGTAATCCTCCCTAATACTTTTACCCCATAACTGATCGATAAACCAAATATGTTTTACAATATCGATTTTTCTGACGAGTGCTTCTTTATGTTGAATGGCGAGATATGTAGCATTTTCCATATATAAAAGCTTGCACGTCATTCAAGTTCTGTGTCGTCAGAACACATCAGAATAGGTAGTAAGTGAGGAATTTTTAAAATGTCAACTATTTTTCAAACTATTAAATTAACAGTAAATACACTAAGTTTTAAGAAAAAAAATTTATTAAAAAACCTTTATAAAAGGTATATATTTAAAAACCCTAACGGGCTAATTAAACAAAACGTTTTCGGAATCCATATTCCATCATCAGTGTCCTAGAAAATATACCTAACCACTTAATTAAAAAGAACATGAGGTTGAAATTTTGACTAAGGTTAATGCAAAGTGTGGTTAATACTTACTAGGAGTACATGAATTTAGCCACTAAATATATGGGTAAAAACCCGTTAACAAATAATTAATTACATTTGGTATACGATATTTCTTATAATATTTTATGATGTTAAAGTTACCGTTGGATAAGGTAACATGGCGACATATGACTCCACGTTGAAGTTGCTAGTCCTGAGATGGTGTGTCTACAAGGACTGTATGGAAGCAACTGATTGGAATGCCACTGTTGACAAGTTAGGGTGAACGTTGTAACAGAGCAGTCAAGATAACTGTATGCGTCTAGTTAAGACAAAAGCCAATGTTATTTAAAATTGTTAAAGTAAAGTAAATAAATATAACTGTATCAACCATCATTGTTGTTGTTTTAAAATTCTGTATATAAGATGGGATGTATGAAAAGAAAAATATGTGGTTATAGTTAGGCAACTATACATGTGTACAGTAGTGTGGTAAAATAGATATTTAAATATAAGGCCCTTTATGTTTCTACAACATTTGGTACCTGGAAAATAGAAACTAGACACATGTGGGAAGTTGGGTTCTTGAATTTTATTGTTGTTGGTGGGATATGAATGAATATATTTAAAATATGAAAGTGTTCTTGAATGAATAAAAATAAAACTTTTGTAGTATGATGTTCATGTAGTATAAACTTATAACTCAATTATAGAAGGCTCTTTATGTCAAAAAATAACATTTGGTACCTGGTAAATGTAAAACTTATTGAGTTATAAGCTCATGAACAT